TCAGGGTTGTGCCCCCGCTCAGTGTACCTTCTCCGACGGCTCTGTCGCTGTGGCTGAGACTGCTGCTGCAGTGCAGTCCCGCTCGGCGAAGGGCCGCCGCCCCAAGGTTGGGAGCGGCGGAGGCGGCGGGGGTGCGGGTGGGGGTAGTGGTGGAGGCGGGTCGTCCGGTGCCGGTGCGGACGTGGGGACCCTGCCCGGTCCAGCTGCCCCGCTGCCTCCACAGTTGCAGCAGCCGCAGCAGCAGTCGCCGCAGCCGCAGCCTTCGCAGCAGCCGCAGCAGCCGCCGCAGACGAGGCAGGCGAGTACTCTCCCACCTGGGTGGCCTGGAGCTGGTGGTGGTCGTGCGCGTGGTGGTGCACCGGGTGGTGGTTCTGGAGGCGGGCCCTGTCAGTACCAGATCCAGACCGGTCCTCGCCGCGGCTTCGTTTGCGGTAAGATCGGTCATTCTACTCCTCGCTGTTTTCGTCGCTGGACGACCTGTTCCGCCAGCGCTTTGGCCCGGCGCCCGACCTCCCGGACTGGCACAGCTTGCTTAGGCGTAGCATTAGGATTTTTGACTTGGACATGGATGCCATTGTAGCGCCTTGCATGTGATGTATGCTGATGACTCTAGTGTGCTTCCCTCTTATTACCCCGTGTTGCCTAGTGTAGCGGTGCCTAGCGTAGACTCCCCTGCTGCGTCAGGCGTAGGATCTCCTGCTTTGCTTAGCCTTGGTGCTTCCACCGCTTCACTGCTGCCTCGCGCGACTGCTGCGCTTTCCTTCACCTTGGACTCTGGCGCCTCCCGGTGTTTCTTCCGCGACTCCACGACGCTGACGCCGCTGCCTGTTCCCGCTGCAGTTACTCTTGCTGACCCCTCCGGTGGTCCCGTCGTTGCCCGCAGTTCCACCTCCCTTCCCTGTCCGGCGGTTCCTTCGGTCTCACAGGTCTGCATATCCCCTCGTTCTCCAGGAACCTAGTTGGTGTCGGCTGCCTCCAGGACCTTGGCGTCACCACTACGTTCCCTGGTCACGAGCGGTATGCTGTCTGTACCGAGGCCGCCACTGGTGCCCCCTTACCACTTTCCCCCGGGACCCGGTGTCCGGCCTGTTCACACTTGACACCGCGACTCCCCGGCTGGGTCTTCCCCCCGGTAGCTGCGTCCACCCAGGTTGCTGCTGCGTGCTCCTGTCGGTCCCTCACTCACCCGACTCTCCTTTGGCACCACCGCCTTGGTCACCCTGCACTCCCCGTCTGCGTCACATGTCCCAGCACGGTCTCGTCCTTGGTCTCCCCGGTTCGTTCCCGAGTTTCCCTCCTCCCCCGCCCACCGTGCACGCCTTGTGTCGAGGGCCGGCTCCGCCGTGCCCCTCACTCCTCCTCTTTTCCCCCTACCACCGCACCACTGCAGACTCTGCACATGGACGTCTGGGGCCCAGCCCCGGTCCATGGGCCGCGTCGCGAGCGCTTCTTCCTAGTGCTTGTCGACGACTTCACGCGCTACACCACCGTCTTCCCCCTGGAGCGGAAGGCCGACGTGCCTGACGTTCTCATCCCCTGGCTTGTCTCTGCTCGTGTCCACCGCGGTCTCCCTGCCTTGCGCCTTCACTCCGACCGGGGTGGCGAGTTTGCCTCAGGTGTCCTTGGTCGCTTCTGTCGTGCGGAGGGCATCACCCAGACGTTTACCCTGCCGGACTCCCCAGCAGAATGGGGTCGCTGAGCGACGCATCGGTTTGGTCATGGAGGTGGCTCGCACCTCCATGATCCACGCCGGTGCACCCCATTTTCTGTGGCCGTTCGCCGTGCGCTACGCCGCTCACCATACCCCCACCCCCTTACAGCTTAACCTGTGGCCGCACCCCCAGCGGCCGCAGGTTTCGCCGACCCTTCTGTGGACCGGGTCCCCTGGTGACGCGTCTGCGTTCCGCGTCTGGGGCTGCCTTGCTCACGTTCGTGCCTCTGGCACGGACAAGCTCACTGCCCGCACCCTCCCCTGCGTCTTCCTCGGTTTCCCCCTTGACGCGTCCGACTGGCACTTCTACCACCCGCCGTCTCACCGCTTCTTTCACTCTCGCGACGTCACCTTTGACGAGTCCGTCTCCTTCTACCGCCGCTTTCCCCACCGTGGTCCCCCGGTTACTCCCCCCCTTTTCCTGGTTCCTCCCTCCCTGGTGGTCCCTGCCCCTCCCCCCCCCGCCCCCCGTCCGGCCCCTCTGGTGTGTCTCACGTCACCCCCTCCCGTCGGTCGTCCCGGTCGACGAGTCTTCTGACTCTGGTAGTCCTCCGGCGCAGTCCTCGCCGTCTGTCCCTCCCCCGGTGTCTCCTCCTCCACCGCCTCCGCAGCCGTCCCGTCTCCACCGCCGCGCCGTTGCAGCCGTCGTCTCCGCCGCCGCCGCCGTCGCAGCCGTCGCTGCAGCCGCCGCCGCCGCCGCCGCTGTCGTCGCTGCCGCCGTTTGTGGACTCTGGGGGTGTCCCTTCTGGGGGTGCAGGTGTGGAGGGTTCGGGAGGTAGCCGTCGCGCAGGCTTGTGGCCCTGGAGTTGGTGTTGTGTCGCCGCAGCAGCAGTCCCCGCCTGTGTCCGCCTCCGTCTGCTCGGCCTTCCGTCTCCTGACCCTGCGCCTGTTCCTCTCCTGCCGTCTCCCCTCTTCCCGTCTACGGCCCCGTGTTCCCTCTGCCAGACTCGTCCCCGGCTCGTCTTCCCCCTCGTTCCCCTCCTGTGTCCCCTCCTCTGTCTCCTGACCCGACGCCGCCCTCACACGTCTGGTCTCGCCGCCCCTCTCGTGCTCGTCCTGTCGCCCTGTCCCGCGCTCTCACCCTATGTTGCTCCGTTCCCACGCGTCTCGACCTCCCCTCCTCCCGTCTCCTCCTCCGTCTTCTCTTGTCGTTGCGTCTCCTCCTCTGTCCGACTCCTTTCGTGCCGCTCGTCCTCTTGTTCCTCGGGTCCTTGCCTCTCTCGTTACCGACCCGTCTGTTCCCGTGTCGAGTCTTGACGCCCTCGTCGCTGCGGTCGCTGACTTCGCCTCTACCCGCCGCCTTGACTACGCCACCGCTCTGGTCTCTCACCCTGCCTGTCCTCCGTCTGTTGGGGGTGCTCCTGCCCTCGGCAGTGACGTCCTGGAGGACCGCCAGTTTGAGCTTGCTTTCCTGTCCGAGGCTGCTCCCCATCTCTGTTCCATGCTGCTAGTCCTGAGGGTGACCCAGACGCTTTCGACATCCCGACCCCTCGTACTTACGCTGAGGCGGTTTCGGGACCCTGGGCCTCTCAGTGGATAGCTGCCATGGAGCAGGAGATGGCATCTTGGAGATCCACCGGCACCTTCGTCGACGCAGTTCCCCCACCTGGGGTGAACGTGGTCGATGGCCGTTGGCTCTTCAAGGTGAAGCGCCCTCCTGGAGAGCCGCCTGTGTTCAAGGCGCGCTACGTGGCTAGAGGCTTCAGTCAGCGCGAGGGGGTGGACTTCTTTCAGACTTTCGCTCCTACCCCGAAGATGACTACTCTTCGGGTGCTGCTACACGTAGCGGCTCAGCGTGACTACGAGCTTCACTCCCTCGACTTCTCCACTGCCTTTCTTCAGGGCAGCCTTCACGAGCAGGTCTACCTGCGTCGCCCTCAGGGCTTTACTGGCACCTTCCCCCCTGGGACCCAGTGGCTTCTGCGGCGGCCAGTCTACGGCCTGCGCCAGGCGCCTCGTGAGTGGCACGACACTTTGCGTGCTACCCTTGCTGACCTGCAGTTCTTTCCGTCCTCTGCAGACCCCTCGCTCTTCGTTCGTGCTGGCTCGACTCCGTTCTACATCCTCGTCTACGTAGACGACCTGGTCTTTGCCACTGCTGACAGGGACGCACTGGCCTCCGTGAAGGCAGAGCTGCTGAAGAGACACAACTGCACTGACCTTGGAGAGCTGCGCCGTTACCTTGGCTTGCAGATCTCCAGGGACAGAGCCGCGCGCACCATCACCCTGACTCAGTCACACTTGGTGCGCCAGGTCCTTCAGAGGTTCGGCCTTCAGTTCTCCTCCGCACAGCCCACCCCTCTTCCTCTGGACCACAGACTCTCCGCTCCAGTTCCTGAGGAGTCGGTAGATCCCAGTGGTCCTTACGCTGAGCTAGTGGGTTGCCTCATGTACCTGATGACTTGCACTCGCCCAGATCTCGCATACCCTCTCAGCATCCTGGCTCGTTTCGTGGCCACAGGCAGGCACCGACCTCAGCACTGGTCTGCCGCTAAGAGGGTTTTGCGTTATCTTGCAAGTACATCGGGCATGGGGTTAGTGCTAGGCGGACGCAGGCCAGTGGTCCTTACTGGACACACAGACGCTTCTTGGGCAGACGACGCCGAGACGCTCAGGTCTTCCCAGGGCTACTGCTTTAGCCTTGGTTCAGGTGCTGTCTCGTGGAGAGCTACCCGCTCTTCGTCTGTTGCCCAGTCCAGCTGTGAGGCCGAGATCTACGCCGGTGCCATGGCGGCACAAGAGCTCCGCTGGCTGACCTTCTTGCTCACTGACTTAGGTGAGCGGCCTAGCTCTGCCCCGGTCCTGTACGCTGACAACAGGGCCATGATCCTCCTGTGTCAGGAGCCTCGACTCGAGGGCAGAGCGAAGCACATCCAGCTGCGGTACTTCCTCCTGCGTGAGCTACAGCAGCGTCGCCAGGCTCGCGTAGTACACTTAGCCTCCGGTGCCAACACAGCTGATATCTTTACGAAGGCGCTTGCGCCTAAAGATCATCAGCGGCACTGTGTGCAGCTTGGTCTGGTTCCTGTAGTCTCTCACTTACTCGGGCCTTGACTCTGTACTGTCCTATATATCTGTGTGTACACTCAGACTGGACTTGTGTCCTCTTACAGTGGTTGGACTAGTAGTGCCGCCCTGTACTAGTTCTTGCCTTGCCTGTACTCCTTCTGACTGGTCTTTTAGACCCTTGTCTCAGAGGCTGGACTAGTAGTGCCACCCTGAGCTGCTTGTCTAGAACATTCCCCTATGCAGTCCAGGGGGTGTGTCAAACATGTTTAGTTATCATGCTTGTATAGACTGTATAGGGTTATCTTCTAGAGAGTACAACATTTAGGTATATGTTTGTGTACTCTCTCTCTCTATTCATCAATTTCACTGTTCGTTAGATATGACATGACACCCACCCACACAAAGGACACACGCTCGCTGAAGCCCTCCAGCATGTACCCTGCTTCCAGATGCACTTATGAGCTCTCATCTGCAGGAACCTCAATTTGTTCATTGTTCGATACAGGCGTAGGAGAAGCCTCCTGAATTGCAGCATCGGAAGAACTCAAACCCACCGAATTAGCTGGGCTGTGGAAAGCCGCACCCGGGGGAGCTCGAGCAGCGACCAGAGAGGGCTCGATGCAGGTGCGTGTGAGGCGGGAGACCACGCTGCGCAGCACCTTCTTCTTGTGCATGCGGTACCGCACCATCACCATCCTCTCCTCCACCGCAGGTAAGATCGATCTGCACCACGCAGAAAACGCCTCGTGCTCTTCCTCCTCTCTGCCCTCCTTCCCCTCCTGTTTCTCCCTCTGCTTCTCCCCCTGTTTCTCCCCCTGCTTCTCCCCCTGCTTCTCCCCCTGCTTCTCCCCCTGCTTCTCCTCCGCCTCCTCCCTCCCCTGCTTATCCTCCCCTGATTTTGCCGAACCTACCACCGAGCCTCTTCCCCAGGCTTGGCAGGACTGCAGCTTCAGAAGCACGGCGTCGTCCTCTTCCACGGAGGTGGGGTACCGAGCCAGTCGGTACTCCGCTAGCAGACGAATGGTGTCGGCCGCGGCGACCACGGCCGGCATGAGGGTGGAGTAGTTTGGCAGGACGTGCAGGCAGGTTCTGTTTCCGGATAGGTCCCAGCTGTAGAGCACAGAGCCCAGCGCCAGGTCAGCGTAGTGGGGCTCTGGGAGGGGGATGGTGAGGGGCATCAAAAAGGGGGAGGGGGTGCGTGTACTTCCAAGTTAGAGAGCCAGAGACGCATGGCCCGCCCCAGCTGTAGAGCACAGAGCCCAGCGCCAGGTCAGTGTAGTGGGGCTCTGGGGGGGAGGGGGAGAGAGGGGTGCAGTGCCAGGGGGCACGAGGGTGGTTGTGGGAGGGGTGGGGAAAGGGGAGGTGGGTTGCAGGTTCTGTTTCCGGATATGCCCCAGCTGTAGAGCACAGAGCCCAGCGCCAGGTCAGCATAGTGGGGCTCTGAGACGAGAGAGAGGGGGGGGACGAGGACAGAGAAGTCAATTGGAGGGTGGTGGTGGTATGGTGGTGGCGGGCTCGTTGGGTGGTTGGAGAGTCAGACACACAGGCACACAGACACACAGACACAGAGACACACAGACACACAGACACACAGACACACATGGCTCGCCTCAACTGTAGAACACGGAGCCAATGGCTAGGTCAGCATAGTGGGGCACTGGGGCCGTGTGGAAGGGTTGACTTGGAGTCAATGGAAAGTCAGCAGGGTGTTCGGTTCAGGCCGAGACGATCACAAGAGATGCTTGCAACGAGAGTGTGAACTGGGAAGGTGAGTACTCGATCTGGTCAAGATGACGTGACGCCTTTACGCACTCGCCACCTTGCTCGCAGTGCGCCATGTGTCAGATAGCTGCTAGCGGCACCAGGCAGCAGTGTGGCCGCTTCTGCTGCACCCCCTTCGCCTTCACAATGCCCGAGCAATATCAAAACCACAATCACTGAGATCCACCCACCCACCCACCAACCTTGAGGTAAGATGGTTTTTTTGAATTCCCCAAAACCAGCTTGCAATATCGGAACCACAATCACAGAGACCCAGACCCACCCACCTTGCAAAAAGTACAACAGTGCAATATTGCTGCTGAGGAGTCTATTTTCCAAGCGCCAAAAATGGTCTCCTCAATTTTGTATTAGACGCCGAGAAAATACACCCACCGTGCAAAAAGTTAACCAGGTGCCATATGGCTGCTGGCGATGCCAGCAACGTTGGCTCCACTAGTCCTTGCTCGTAGTGCACCATGCGCCATATGCCCGCCAGCGACGCCAGCAGAGTGGGCTCCACTAGTCCATACTGGGCTCTTCTGCTGCACGCCCTTCTCCTTCACAATGCCCGCGCAACATCAGAACCACAACCACGGATACCCACCCACCCACCCTGCAAAGAGGACAACAGGTGCCGTATGGCTGCTGAGTCGTCTATTTTTTAGGCGCCTATAAAATAAAATCCCCCCCCCACCCCCCCTTTCCTTTCTTTTAGGTGCCGTATGGCTGCTGGCGATGCCAGCAGCGTTGGCTCCATTGGTCCATACGCCCACACCAACACCTCCTGCTGCACGCCCTTCCCCCCAATCTCCTTCATGGAGACGTTAAATATCCAGCCCAAAGACTCACCTTGCACGTAGTGCACCAGGTGCCAGATAGCTGCCAGTGATGCCAGCAGAGTAGGCTCCACTGGTCCATACGCCCACACCAACACCTCCTGCTGCACGCCCTTCCTCATCTCCTTCAAAGAGACGTTGAAAATCACAGCCCAAGGACTCGCCTTGCTCGTAGTGCACCACGCGCCATATGGCCGCCAGTGACGCCAGGTGAGTGGGCTCAACTAGTCCATACGCCCACACCGACACCTCCTGCCGCTGATAGTGCAGCGGGAGGTCTGTGCACAGAATAAAGGGTTGGGAGATCTACCTTGCTCGTAGTGCACAAGGTGCCACGTGGCCGCCAGCGACGCCAGCAGAGTGGGCTCCACCACTCCATACGCCCACACCGACACCTCTTGCTGCACGCCCAACTCCCTCTCCTTACCCCTCTTCCCCTCAACCTCCTCTGACTCCTCCCCACGGCTCTCACGCCCTCCTTTTCTCCTCCCCAAGCGCCTCCACGCGGCGTCATCCACGCGCTGCTTCACATTGAACTGCGGCATCTTGAGCGCATCCGTGTAATTCCCATCCTCCGCCTCCTCCACCACCGCCTCCACCGCCCTCCCCGCCACCCTCAGCAGATCCCTGTACAGAGCCTTGCCCGACTTCCCTGCGGGCGAATATTGGCTGGAAAATCCCATCTGAGGGGTCTCTGAAGCGCTAGAGAGTGCTCCGGGTGACCTTTCTCCCAGGGAGGGTTCAGTTATGCTGCTGAGGGGAGTGCCTGCTGTCCCTGCAGCTGCTGCGCTCTTGGCATGCTCCTTGCCACTGTCGCTGCTGCTGGTGCTGATGCTGCCACTGCTGCCATCACCACCACTACTGCTACCGCCACCTTCAGCAGCCGCTGCTGCAGGTCTTTCCTCAGTCAGCCAGATCCCCTCCAGAGCCCTCACCAGCTCCACCTCCCCCGGATAAACCTCCCTCTCTCCCTCCCTCTCCCCCTTCCCCTTTACTTCCCCCTCTCCTCCACCCACCTTCCTTCCACTCTCACTTCCTCCACTCTCCCCCCCTCCCTTCCCTATCTCACTCGCTCCTCCTCCTCCCTCGCCCTGCCCCCATTGGCCAGCAAGGCTGCCACCACGCCTATGGCCTCTGTGAGATTCTCGAACAGGGGCACGCCGTCGAAGGGGTTGGGGTCCAGCACGAAGCCGTAGGTGCAGAGCAGCTGGTCGTTGGTCTTGGGGCCGTACGAGGTCGACAGCTCTGAGCCTGCTGAGATATTGAAAATCGGTGTGTATTGGAACACTTCGGTGATCTGAGGGGGGGGTCGGGGTGGGTGTAAAGATGGGGGACGTCATCGGGGGGGTTAGGGCGGAGCACGAAGCCGTAGGTGCAGCGCAGCTGGTCGCTGGTCTTGGAGCCATATGAGGTAGACAGTTCGGATCCTGCTGAGGCGTTGAAGGTGGGTATGTACTGAAACACATCGGTGATCTGGGGGGCGGGTGTAGGGATGGGCGAACGGAGAGGTTAGCATCAAGCACGAAGGGGCTGGGGTGGGGCACGAAGCCGTAGGTGCAGAGCAGCTGGTCGTTGGTCTTGGGGCCGCACGACTTGGACAGCTCGGAGCCTGGGGAGATGTCGATAATTGGTCTGTACTGGAAGTGATCGGTGATCTGAGGAATCAGAGTGGGCGGCGTGGGGGTGGGGGAGAGGGAGGGGGGATGGGGAGCAGAGCTATGGGGGCGACCATAGATGGGGTGGAGCTCTACCCCTGCTGTCACGTTAAAGATGGTATGTCCTGGAAGTGATCGGTGATCTGGGATTCTGGGGGTGGGGGGGAGGAACTTGGAGGGAGGTAGGGAGAAGGACGAAGGGGTAGGGAGCATAGAACATGGAGATCCCAAGGCCTCTTTTATTTGCTCAAAAGCCACAATTAACTAGCCAACCAACCACTCACTTTGTAATGAATGGACGAGTTCACTTGATGGTCCAGCAGCTCGGCTGGAGTGATGAGTGCCATGGGCATGCCTCTAACTACCTGCCGGTTCGACTGCTTCAGCCCCCCCACCTTTACAATGCATTGAAAAAGTCGTATTTGAGATTGAATAGGGTGTTTTTGAGAATTCTAAAAAACACCCTGCTTCAGCACCCCCACCTTTTCAACGCATTGACAAGGTCGTATTTGAGAGAGGATAAAGATATTTGAGTCGACTCAAAAATCACCTACGGATAAAGAGAACTAGTTGGAGAGTGAAGAGGAACAACGAAGATGTGGGCATACAGGATCTTAACCCCATAACATCCCTGCGAGACTATTCGTGGATCCACCACCACGGTCGAAGAATAAACACGATCCGAATGAATATCACCACACGCAGATTTCGGACACGGGAGCGGGTGCTTGAAGGACATTGATTCGGATCATGCTTATTCTTCGTCCGTGGTGTCGGATCCACAAACAGTCACGCAGGGATGCTGTGGGGTGCAGATCCCGTGTGCCCATGCCTTCGTCGTTCCTCTCCACCCGCCGTTTCGTTCTCTTTATCCAATCTTAAACACCATATTTTCAGTCCATTGGCCGGGACGACCATCCTTCCCCTCCAGAGATACAGGCGGCGTAACTCGTACTAGCGGCAAATTAACGGTGGTTAGAGTTACATCAATGCGAGTGCAGAAGAGGCAATTCATGTTTTGGAGTAAGGGACAGCTGTGTGGCGAGAGCTGGGGGACGACGAGACAACAGAAGACTGACCTACACACGGGAGCGGAAAGGTGTTAGCTAGAATTGTTGGACCACCCGGGATCACACAGCAGCGCAATAATAAGCCGCGGTGATCTACAAACGGCATGCCGCACACGACCCGGTGGTTGTTTGGCAGAGGAGCCACGCTTCAGCAGTCCGTCAGTCAGTACTAGCCCCACACTCAGTGACTCACTAGCGTGGCTCCTCTGGTTGTATTGCATGGACGAATCCACCTGGTGACTTCAGCCGCACTGATCAATGCCACGGGCATGCCCCGCACCACCCGCCTGCTTCAGCACCCACCACCTCGTTGGGCCAGAGGAGCCACACTTTACCAGTCACTACTAATTGGCTTTTTTAACATACTCACGTTGTACTGGATGGACGAATTCACTTGGTGGTCCAACAATTCAGCCGCAGTGATGAGAGCCATGGGCATGCCGCGCACGACCCGACGGTTTGACTCCTTCAGCACCCCCACCGCCTCATTAATCGCTTCAACCAGCTCGTCCGGTGCACTCGCCATCGTCCGCAGGCGACTCTCACTGTCCCTCCTCCTCCTCCCCTTCTCAGCCTCCTCGCCGTCCTCGTCCCCCTTCCTGCTCCCCTTGCTTCTCCCACCCTTGCTGACCCCTGTGGCGACCGAGATGTCCATGCCTTTGATCTCCTTCCCCGGGACACCAAAGGCCCGCGAGTCCAGGATGGAGTGCGCCCAGAGGTAGTCGTCGAACGAGGCGAACGCCAGGGCGGGCGGGCGGGCTTGGTCGTACTCTAGCCGGGCCATCGCCCGCTGGTCAAAGATCTATTTGTGGGATTGAAGAGAGAAACATGGGGAGAGATGGATTTAGACGAAGGGAGGAGAGGAGAGAGTGGAGGGTAAGTGGAGGAGCCCCTGGGGCGACTGAGATGTCCCTGGGGCGACTGAAAGGGCGACTGGGCCTTTCAGCCCCTTCCCTGGCGCACCAAAGGCATCTATTTATTAGGCGCCTCAAAAATAGACTCCTCATGCCGTTGAGCTCCTTCCCCGCCCCGCCACCCCTGTCACGACTGAGATGTCCATGCCAGTGAGCTCCTTCCCCGGCAACCAAAGGCCCGTGACTCCAGGATCGAGTGCGCCCACAGGTGATCGTCAAATGATGCAAACGCCAGGGCGGCCGGGCGGGTGGGCTTGGTCATACTCTAGCCGGGCCATCGCCCGCTGGTCAAAGATCTATTTGCGGGTTTGCAGGGAGAAACATGGGGAGAGATGGAAGGAGATGGAGGGAGGAGAGGAGAGAGGGGAGGGTGGAGTGAGCTCCTGTGGCGACAGAGATGTCCATGCAGTGAGCTCTTTCCCTGGCACACCAAAGGCCCGTGAGTCCAGGATGGTGTGCGCCCACAGGTAGTCCTCGAACGAGGCGAATCCCAGGGCGGGCAGGTGGGCTTGGTTGTACTCCAGCCAGGCCATCTCCCGCTGGTCACGGATCTGGAGTAGGGAGGGAGCAAGATGGAGAGGGATGGAGAGAGATGGAGAGGGATGGAGGGAGAAGGTCCTTGTGTCCTGGATGGAGTGCGCCCAGACATAGTCCTCAAACGAGGCAAAAGACAGGGCAGGTGAGGGGGCGGGCTTGAGTGTGCTCCAGCCGTGCCTTCTCCCGCTGGTCAAGGACCTGTGATGGGTAGGGGTGGATGGAGAATGCACGAAATGCCAGGAAAGTTGGGTTTTGAGAATTCTCGAAAACCAACTTCTCCCCCTGGACAAGGACCTGAGGTGGGGAGGGGTAGACGGAGAATGCATGAGCTGTCAGGATGGGGTGCGCCCACACGTGATCAGTTAGGAGCCCCTAACTGACTTTGCCTCATCCGAACTGTCGTTGCGAAAGCGGCACGGCAGCGGCTCGGCAGCTTCACATGTGCTATTCCCTCCCATTGCTCACCTCAAGTGCAGCATTGCATTCACAGCCAAACGCACGCACCATCTGCTTCACACGATATGATAAACTTTAACATTAAAAACTAAACCTTAAGTCGAGTTTTGAGACGTCACAAAACGAAACCCCTATCACACTGCCACACGCATGCACCATCTGCTCCAGCTGTGCCTCGACCGGGTTGCCATTGCGAAACCAGTACGGCAGCGCACATTGGGCGGCAGCGTCTCAATGTAGGGGCGTGTGTACACCCTCACAAGTACCAGAGGAAGCACGCACCATCTGCTCCACTAAGGCCAGCTGTGCCTCGACCGGGCTGCCATTGCGAAACCAGTACGGCAGTGCACATTGGGCGGCAGCGTCTCAATGTAGGGGCGTGTGTACACCCTCACAAGTACCAGAGGAAGCACGCACCATCTGCTCCACTAAGGCCAGCTGTGCCTCGACCGGGCTGCCATTGCAGAACCAGTACAGCAGCGCACATTGGGCAGCAGAATGTCAGTGTAGGGCCACCAGTTGCTTGAGAGGCACGGACTGCCTAGGGCCGTGCCCATACCAGTCAAATGCTCACCAGCTGCTTCACAAAGGCCGATTGTGCCTCATCTAGGGACTCGTTGCGGAAGCGGTATGGCAGCGGCACGTAGGGCGGCAGCATGTCAATGTACGGCCACCACTCGGACTGCCTGCCTCTCGCTTTCTCCCGCAACAGCCATGCTGCCATGGCCAGGTGGATGTCCACAGGGCCTGTTGAGTGTTGAAATAGATCCCCAGAGAGGAGAGTGGGAGAGAGGAGTGGGGGGGAAGGGGTTTTGAGGGGGGGCAGCATGCCGATGCACCGCCACCACTCCGACAGCCTGCCTCTCGCTTTCTCCTGCAGCAGCCATGCCGCCATGGCCAGGTGGATGTCCACAGGGCCTGGTTGGGGTGGACACAGCGGGATTCGGGGGGTATGGGATGGTTGAAAGGAGGGGGGGTCTCAATGTACAGCCACCACTCCGACTGCCTGCCTCTCGCTCTCGCTTTCTTCCGCAGCAGTCATGCCGCCATGGCCAGCTGGATGTCCACAGCGCCTGAAGTGGGGGGGAGAGGAGGGGAAGGAGGAAGCGAAAGGGGGAGGGAGAGAGGCGGAGGTGTGGGTGGGTTTGAGAGCAGATATCCTATTGACATGCACCCACCACACCACTCAGACTGCCTGCTGCTGCCCCCCCTCCCCAGCAGCCATGCTGCCATGGCCAGCTGGATGTGCACAGGGGCTGTCATTTGAGAGAGCGGGGTGTGGAGGGGAAGGTGGGAGGAAGGAGGAACGCCATCGGGGGTTCTGGGATTGAGGGCCAGGAACACTTGACAACGGGCCACCACTCAGACTGCCGGCCTCTCGCCCGGCTTCTCCTGCAGCAGCCATGCTGCCATGTCCAGCTGGATGTCCACAGAGGGCGGGAATGTAGAAGGGAATGAGGGAGGGAGAAGGGGGTTGAGGAGAGGGATAATTTCGACAAAATTTCTGACTGCAATGCCTGTGCGGGGCAGTTAAAACTAAGTGACCACAGTACAAGTTTGGCACTAAGTGGAATCAGCACAATGGGTGCGATGCGGTACCTGTGTGCGGTAGCACCCCCCTTTTGCACCGACCTGTGCTGTGACCCACAGCGACTGTGCATGGCTGCCAGCACCTCCTTGTGTGCTGCAGTGCCGTGCAATTGAACTCCTCTGTGGTCCAATGTGGTACTTGTGTGGGGCGGCATCTCCTCTGCTGCCACCTTGGCTGGGACCCACAGCGACTGGGGAATGGTCAGTGCACCTCCTTGTGTGCTGCAATGCGGTGCAATGGAGTATCTGTGCAGTGCAATGCGGTGAAATGGGATACCTTAGTCGTTCAATGCAGTACCTGTGTGGGGCGGCATCTCCTCCGCAGCCACCTCGGCTGTGACCCACAGTGACTGGGGAATGGTCAGCAGCACCTCACCCTCCCGGAGGTCCCTCCCTGCCAGCATGCTCATTTGGCGCCTGGGTCAAGGAGACGAGCAGACAGGCAGGGACACAGACACACAGGCAGACAGACAGGCAGACAGGCAGACATGCAGAGAGGCAGAGAGGCAGATAGGCAGACATGCAGACAGGCAGACAGGCAGGCAGGCAGACAGGCAGACAGGCAGACAGGCAGACAGGCAGACAGGCAGACAGGCAGACAGGCAGACAGGCAGACATGCAGAGAGGCAGAGGAGCAGAAAGGACATGAGCAGGAATGAGAGTAACTGGAAGTCAGCAGCAATTCGCCCTCCCCGAGGTCCCGACCTGCCAGCATGCTCATCTCACGCCCAAGGCATGGAGACAGGTAGAAAAGAAATGACGCAGACAAGCAGACAAGCAGACAAGCAGACAGGCAGAGAGGAGGGAGGAAGAAAAAATTCCATGGAACAATGCTTGCATGCATAAATGTGCAGACGGGCGGAAGGAGCATGCAACGAAGCATGCACAACTGTGCGCACATGCGAGTTGACGTGGCTGGTTGCCAATCAGTTGTGGCAGAATGCAGACCTGACACGTGGCAGAATGCAGACCTGACTCGTGGCTTGGAAGTGGCATTGGTGGCAGTAGAGGGGTCTGAGGTGTTATCCACGGAGGGTGCGACGTCACGATGGTCGTAGAAATGAAACTGTCAATAAGGGGGATGCCAGTTTGACGGCGGGGGGTGGGAGGCAAGCGGCGAGCCACGACGAAGATGGCAGGCAGAAGGGGCAAGACACAAGGGAAATACGTCTGATTAGCTTCGAGGCGTCTCGAAAAGCAACAAGGACAAGATGTGAAAAGCAACAAGGACAAGATGTGAAAAGCAGTGCTTCATTTTGATGCTCTCATCACTCTGACTGGCCTCCCCACAGGGCTGCAGAGAGGCACAGTGCTGCTGCAGGACGTGAATAAGGCACTGTGCCTCTCCGCAGGGCTATACTCAGCTCGAGGCTACGAGCGGAGATGCATCCGTGCCATACTCCTTGATTCCCCTCCGCTGCACCAACTTTTTAAACGCCCTCAGCTTCCTCTGAGGCGACTGTTACATACACTCATTTTTTAAACGCCCTCCGCTCTGCTGCACCCTCTCTATGGACGCCTGCCTTCAGGGTGACTCTCGCACAGTCTCACCTTGAGGGGCGACTCCTCCGTGCCGAACTCCTTGATGCCCCTCCGCTGCACCCATTTTATAAACGCCCTCAGATTCCTCTCCTCTTCACCTTCAGCCTTTGAGGCGAATTGAACGCACACTCAGTGCAGGGGTAAATCAACGACTTCCTCACCTTGAGGGGCGATTCATCCGTGCCATACTCCCTGATGCCCCTCCGCTGCACCCACTTTATGAATTCCCTCAGCTTCCTCTCCTCCCCATCATCCACCTCCCCTCCCTCCCCTTCCGCTCCGCCCACTCCTCCCTCCTCACCCCCGCCCCCCTCTCTCTCGCCCCTCTCCTCCCCCTCCCCTTGCCATGTGCTCCTCTCGTCCCTCTCCGCTTGATCCCTCCTCCCCAGGTGCAGGTCGAAGCGCGGGTCGCAGGAGAGCAGGAGCCAATCAGAGGCCTCCACGAGGAGCTGCTTGTGGTTGAGGTGGTGCTGGATCACGTGCTCCACCTCCTCCAGCCCCGTCATCATCCACGGCTCGCAGATCTTGTTGAGCAGAAAGGAACACAGAGCGGTGGGAAACGGTGAGAGGAAGGTGGGGGAAGAAGTCTTGCACTTGTGGGTTGGGGTGGTGCTGGATCACGTGCCCCACCTCCTCTAGTCCCGTCATCATCCACGGCTCGCAGATCATGTTGAGTGGCAAGGGGGAAGGAGTGGGAGGAGGGGGAGGAGTGGGAGGAGTGAGTGGGAGGAGTGGGAGGAGGGGGAGGAGTGGGAGGAGTGGGAGGAGTGGGAGGAGGGGGAGGAGTGGGAGGAGTGGGAGGATTGGGAGGAGGGGGAGGAGTGGGAGGAGTGGGAGGAGTGGGAGGAGTGGGAGGAGTGGGAGGAGTGGGAGGAGTGGGAGGAGTGGGAGGAGGGGAGGAGTGGGAGGAGTGGGAGGAGTGGGAGGAGTGGGAGGAGTGGGAGGAGTGGGAGGAGTGGGAGGAGTGGGAGGAGTGGGAGGAGTGGGAGGAGTGGGAGGAGGGGGAGGAGTGGGAGGAGTGGGAGGAGTGGGGAGGAGTGGGAGGAGGGGGAGGAGTGGGAGGAGTGGGAGGAGTGGGGGGGAGTGGGAGGAGTGGGAGGAGTGGGAGGAGTGGGAGGAGTGGGAGGAGTGGGAGGAGTGGGAGGAGGGGGAGGAGTGGGTGAGAAGAGCCCGGGGGGGAGGGGAGCTGAGCTGCTCGTGGTTCAGGTGGCGCTAGATCGTATGCTCACAATCAATCTAGCATGTTCCCCAGGTGTTGTACCAGAGTGACATGGTATCCTCCTGCACCGAGTTTGCTTTGCACTTAGCTAAGTAACCCACCTGGCCCTCTCCCTCACGTCACCTTAAACATCTTCTCTGGTTGCTTCCCTCCCACTCGTTGCCACACCCGCCAAAAAGCACATAGTAATGCGACATGGCGTCTTCCAGCACCGAGTCCTTGTACTTTGCTAAGTGTCAGCCTATATCCTTCCCTCCCCCACTTTCCCCCCTCTTCCCCCTCTCTTCCCCACCTTACCCTCACAATCTTCTCTGGTTGCTTCCCTCCCTCTCGTTGCCACACCCGGCAGAAGGGCACATAGTACAGCGACATGGCATCTTCCTGCACCGAGTCCTGGTGCTTAGCTAAGTGTGCCTCCACCAGCTCCCTCAGTGTGCTCGCCATGACTCTCAGCACGGGTGTGAGTGATTCTAAAAGGTGATCGCGGTGGGGAAACTCAGTGAGGGAGATGTGGAGGGGGTTAGGGGAGTGAGCGGAGGAGTAGGATGCGGAGGAGGAGAGAAGGGGCATGTGAGTGCAGGTGGTTCTACCATCGAGGTTCCAAGCATAGGCGATGCTCACACGAGCAAAGAAGCTGTAGTGGGGTTCTGGGAAAGAGAGGGAAGAACGAAAGAAAGAGGAGAGAAGAGGCACGTGCGTGCATGTGATTTGACTGTCGAGGTTCCGAGCATAGGCTACGCTCACACTGGCAAAGCAATTCCAATATATACATGTCCTGGTTGGGTTGGGCCTAGAGCACAAGAATTTACGGTGAACTTTTGATTCCAATATATACATGTCCTGGTAGAGCATAACGAAGATGTCCATCCCCCCCATATATTGGCTGCGAGCTCATGAGAACATAACACACACTGCAAGCGAAGCATTCAGCCTTGAAAACGTGCAGCGTGTGGTGGATTTGATGGGCATCAATAAACCCAAAGCGTTCATGAAGACAAAGAACAAGTGCCTGGGTGGGGATTTAAGCTTCGCATGCGCTTTAAGCTCATTGATGCCCATCGAATCTACCATGCGTCGCACATTTTCAAGGCCGAATGTGTCGCTTGCAGCATGGGTTATGTTCTCGTGTGCTTGCAGTCAGCATATTGGTGAAGGTGACATCGACTTCGTACTGGACCAAATATTTTATGTTGGATCCAAGATTTCACTGTGACTTGTGAGTTTTTGTCCCATTTGTTCACGTTCTCATGATCCTTCCACAAAGTGCAATTTTTTTTTAATCGATCAGGGAGGTGACATTCTGCAACGGAAATGCAGGGAGGATGCAGCGACATCATCTCAGGTGACTTCTAATGAAAAACAGAGGTAACTGTCGAGACGACTCCAAAACTCAACACTCACCTCTTCCGTGGCAAAGACAAAGGCAGCTCACCTTCCCCCGTCGCAAAGAAGTAAATGAAGCCAGCAAGATATGCCACCATCTCAGGATCCATGATGCCCCCCGAATACACATGCAGGGCCGGCCCATCCAACCATGCCACATCCAGCCCCCCCTCCCCTTCTCCCTCCCCTTCCCCGCCTCCTTCATCTCCTCTCTCCCCACCACCTCCACCCTCCCCCTTACCACCACCCCCTCCTTCCCCTGTCTTCTCTAGCCCCATCCTCTCCCTCATCTCCCTCCTCCTCTCCCACACCCTCACTTTCTCCACCACCTCCTCTCTCACTCCCATCCTCTCCCTCACCTCCCTGCTCCCCCCCACCACCGCCTGGACCACCCTCCTCTTCACCGCCCGCACTGCCCGCAGAATCTTCGCGCCGATCTCTGCAATCTTGAGCTGGGATTCGATGGCGTCGATGTCGAAGTCAGCTGGGACTTGCGAGGAGACGGCGTGGAGGATGGCGAGGGGGGAGTGGAAGAGGGGGATGCGGTCCATGAAGAGGGACTTGGGGACGATGCCAAAGTAGGAGAAGGCGTCGCTGTTGGAGAGAGGCGTCGCGTGGATCAGAGACGCCTGAGGAAGCCTTGCTGGCGTCTTTCCCTCGCTGGTCGTTGGCTGTTGGGTTCCTGGGTTCTGTCCCTCTGAATCCGCCCCCTGCTCCTTCTGCTTCTCCTGCTCCTCCTGCTCCTCCTGCTCTTCCTGGCCTCCCTGTTGCAGGCTTGCCTTTAACTGCTGCTGCTTTTCTTTCTGCCTCTGCTGCTGCTGCTGCTGCTGCTTCGCTCTCTGCGCCTGTTTGAAGTGCGCCGAGAGCCCCCCGTCCAGAGGCAGCAGCAGGGGCGCGTCCTTGGGAATGCGCTGTGACGCAAACACACGGACCGACTCCCCGGCCACCTCCCACTGCACATTGGGCGCATCCACACCGGAATCCGCATCCACATCCCCATCCTCCTCATTCGCCCCACTCTCGTTCCCCGTCCCATTCTCACCCCCGTCTTCAACCACCATATCTGCTACCGATCCCCTCCCTGCCCGCCCTAGCAGGTGCAGGAGCGGCACAAACGCCAGCTCGTACCTCCCCTCTTCCCCGCCCTCCCCATCCCTCGCCTCTTCCCCGTTCTCTTCTACACCTTCCTGCCTCTCCTCCCCTGGGCAAGCACCAGGATCAGCAGCATAGTCGGCTGCAGTGGCACCAGCCGGGCACTGCCTGGCAGCGGTGCTGGCTGCTGCAGATGGGCCAGGGGCACGAAAGGGGACAGCAGGACCAGCGTTGCGCAGGGAGGCAGCGGGCAGCGGGATGCCTGAGACCAGAGCAGAGGCCACAGCATCGAGGAACGCTGTCTGGTTCGCTGCAGGGGGTGCTGTGGTGGATTGTGATGGCTTGGTCTTGCGGCGGGACTTGTACGCCGGCTGCTTCTTGAGGGTAGCTTGCTGCCATAAGGTGTACTCACCCTCGTACTGCTGCTTCAGTGCCACTGCCTGGAGTGGTGTGATGGCAAGGGGGGGGAGGGGGAGGGGTGGAAGAGGAGGGAGGTAGGGAGGAGGAGGCACTTCTATGTGGGCTGCTTCGTGATACTGGCCTGCCGCACTGTGCTGTACTCGCCCTCGCACTGCTGCTTCAGCACTGCTGCCTGGTTGGTGGGATGGCAGAGGGGAAGGTCGGGAAAGGGGGGGGGGGGGGAGGAAGGGGAGAGGACGAGGGACTCGTACACCGGATGCTTCTTGAGCGAGGCTTGCTGCCATGTGCTGCACTCGCTCTCCTACTGCTGCCTCGCTGCTGCAGCCTAAAATTGGGGGAGGGGGAAACGGGGGAAGGGTTTATGGACGAGGGAGTTGTATGCAGGCTGCTTCTTGATAGTGGCCTGCTGCCATGTGGTCTACTCACCCTCGTGCTGCTGCCTCAGTGGCACTGCCTGGAGTGAGCAAATGGGCGGGAGGGAGGGTGGGAAAACATGTAAGCTGGCTGCCCCTTTGAGGGCGGCCTGCTGCCATGTGGTGTACTCACCCTCGCACTGCTGCTGCCTCAGTGCTGCTGCCTGGAGTGGTGTGATGGCAAGGGGGGTGGGGTGGGGGGGGAAGGACAGAATGGATTGAGGGATGGATGGATGCTGCATAGTACAAGTACAGCAGGAAACAAACCAAGAAGCACTCACCTTGGCCATCATCGATACCCCAATAATATCTCAGGCGTCTCCTGTGCTCTCCTCGGGCGTCTCTGGCTGCATGTCCAGCCCCTCCTGCAGCATGGGCAGCGCCTCTATACTCACCCCTGCTGGCGTCTGCACACACACCTCTGCTGCGCTCGCCACACTCACCTCAGCTGCCAGTTACACCCATGTGAGGGCTCATCTACACTCACCTTGGGCATCTCTGGCTGCATGTCCAGCCCCTCCCTGCAGCATGGGCAGCGCCTTCAAACTCACCCCTGCTGGAGTCTGTACACACACCTCTGCTCTGCTGTGCCCTACATGCACCTCTGCTCTCACCAACACTCACCTCAGGCATCTCTGGCTGCATATCCAGCCCCTCCTGCAGCATGGGCAGTGGGCGGCCGGCCTGTGCAGTACTCTTTCTCATACTGCGAGCGATCAAGCCAAGCCTGCACTCACCTCAGGAGTTTCTGGCTGCATGTCAAGCCCCTCCTGCAGCATGGGCAGTGGCCGGCGCTGGCCCGCCTTCAGGTGAATCAGCAGGTGGAGGAAGGGAGCCCAGGAGAGAGGGGAGGAGGAGGAAGAAGAAGGAAACGATTCGAACGAGGAAGGAGGAGAAGACGAGAGGGGGGTGTGGAGGTGCGAAAGGGCGCAGGCAGCAAGAGAGGCTTCGGGGGAGAGGGACGTGGGGAGGGGCGGGGAGGGAGGGGAGTGGGGGGAAGAGGGGGAGCAGAGGGAGGAGGAGAAGGCGAGGCGCAGGGGAAGGGAGAAGAGCAGCTGGCCCTGGGGAATGGAGCAGGTTGTAACCAGGGAAGGCAGGAACCTGCGTGGGAAAGAAGGGGGAGGTGAGGTGGGAGAACAATAGAGGAACACGTAACGAGGTGGCTTATGAGTCGGAGCTGAAGGCGAGGCGCAGCGGGAGGGAGAAGAGCAGCTGGCCCTGAGGAATGGAGCGGGTTGTAACCAGGGAAGGCAGGAACCTGAACGGGCAAGGGGGGAGGGGGGGGAGAGGGATATTGGGGGTGAGGAATGAAAATAAGTGACATGGTGGGAGGTCTGACGGATAGGTGAAAAAACAAGAGGGGATGTGCTATAATGAGGATACGTGAGAGCACCGATAGGGACAAAAACGCCTTCAGGAGCTTTTCTGGAATTACTGATTGGTGCTTCCAGAAAGAAAACCCTCGGTAAAAAAAGACGAACCAACAACGAAGAATATCTTTATACAACTGCAATTGGTGAGGAATCTAATTCTGAGGAGCTAAGAGATATAACTGCATTTGGAGCTTCTCACATGTACTCATCTTCGTTGGAGGCTTTCAAACGATTGGCACCCCCCTCCTGCTGCTTCTGTTGTGGCTTGGGCACAAACCGCTGCTTCACCATGAGAAGCTGAAAAGAACGTTCATGCCATACCACACGATTGTATGCCATGTGAAATCAAGGCATGCCATGCCATGCCATTACATACCATGGCACTCCATGACATGCCAGGACATACCATGCAGAACGCATACCATGTATGACGTACAGGACGTGAGATGCATATGAATGCCATCCACGTGTGCCATGCCATCATGTCATGCCAACCAATCCCCGCCATCATGGGTAGCAGTTTGAAACTCCAACCCTGTAACCAGCAATGGACTCATGTAACCAGCAATGGACTCATGTAACCAGCAATGGACTCATGTAACCAGCAATGGACTCATGTAACCAGCAATGGACTCATGTAACCAGCAATGGACTCATGTAACCAGCAATGGACTCATGTAACCAGCAATGGACTCATGTAACCAGCAATGGACTCATGTAACCAGCAATGGACTCATGTAACCAGCAATGGACTCATGTAACCAGCAATGGACTCATGTAACCAGCAATGGACTCATGTAACCAGCAATGGACTCATGTAACCAGCAATGGACTCATGTAACCAGCAATGGACTCATGTAACCAGCAATCGACTTATGTAATCAGCAACGGACCCATGTAACCTCTCGGGAGTCAGGAGCCAAACAAGGGACAGCAGGAGTGCTGGCCGACTGCTGATGAAACGGAGGAAAGAGAGCGGAACGGAACGGAAGCTAACAGAAGAGGACTGAGAAAGAAAGACGCCTTGGCATCACAGAAGAACAACCGGCAGGTCCAACCAGAAAGCTTCTTAAGGGCTTCCATTCAATCCAGAGCAATTAAAGCTGACACTGACTGACTGACGCTGACTGACTGACGCTGATTGACTCTGACGCTGACTGACTGACGCTGACTGACTCTGGCGCTGACTGACTCTGACGCTGACTGACTGACGCTGACTGACTCCGAGGCTGACTGACTCTGACGCTGACTGACTGACGCTGACTGACTCTGACACTGACTTACTCTGACGCTGACTGACTCCGACGCTGACTGACTCTGACGCTGACCGACTCTGACGCTGACTGACTGACGCTGACTGACTGACGCTGACTGACTCTGATGCTGACAGACTGACGCTGATTTACTCTGAAGCTGACTGACTGACGCTGACTGACTCTGACGCTGACGGACTCTGACGCTGACTGACTCTGACGCTGACTGACTGAAGCTAACTGACTCTGGCGCTGACTGACTCTGACGCTGACTGACTCCGACGCTGATTGACTCTGACGCTGACAGACTCTGACGCTGATGCTGACTGACTCTGACGCTGACTGACTCTGACGCTGATTGACTCTGACGCTGACAGACTCTGACGCTGATGCTGACTGACTCTGGCGCTGACTGACTCTGACGCTGACTGACTCGGACTGAGAAATACAACCATCCACCTTGACGGTTCACAATCAGCATTAACCCCACCTTCACGGGTCCTTTCCCCGTGGCTGCTCGAAGCGCCATGGTCGCATTCTCCCCCGCAAAATCCGCGATCCATTCTAAGTACTCCCCCCATCCCGCCTCCAGCACAAGCGGATCCACGTGGCCGCTGATCTCATCCCAAGAATCTCCGATGTCATCTGATCCTCCGGAATTCAGGCGATTTGTGTGTCCATTGCTCGACGACGGATATGCTTTTAACGCGGATTCTAGTGACGAATCATCTTCGTCATCGTCGTAGAGTCCTCCGAACGAGGAGGCGAGCCAGCCGAGCGGCTCTGGAACGTCTCTTTCGGCTCTCTGCATTGAGTTCGGCGACGTGGTTCGCACAACGTCGCTTCCCAGCGACGACGTCGCGACATTCTGCGACGTCGCAGCAATCTCTGTTGCTGCATAGACGGAGCCTCCGACGGACAGAAATACGACAGCGCCGAGCAAGAGGAGGCTGCAGCGTGGACGACGGCGAGCGATCGCCGCCATTGCTTCCAATCGGACTTCAAAATGGATTCGGGAATTGTTCACTTCGTGCGCTTCAGGGAAAATGACATAATGGAGACACTACGAATTCAGTACTCGCTACAGAAGCGTATTCGATTTTGGCAGCTTGCTGCCACGTAGTCTGCTAATACAGAACGAAAGTATCTCGAGCATTTGTAGCCTCATTATTACCCATAAAAGTGACTACCCTACTTAGAGTTCTCCATGGTTCTAAATATGATTTCGTACAGGCTAACACAGATCTCTCCTGCAATGAGGAGGATGATAATCCACTCAAGCGTGTCGGACTTCCGATTTTGAAGAATGTCCAAAAAGAATCGCACGTTGTGCTGCCAAACAAAAACGTACAAGCGCGTGAATCAAGCCAAGAAAGCGAGGCAGAGTGAGCCTTCTGTGATGCACATAACGGCACCAAGCTAAAGAAATGTGTTGTTTATGACATACTTCAAATAAAATAAAATCACAAGAATACCTCGGGACAGTCTCCCGTAGCCTCACCTGGATGATGTTGAGCTTGAAGTCGAGGCTCTCGAACCGCTCGTCCAGCTCAAAGTCGTCTCGAAGGAACTCCCAGATCTTGGAGTACTCCGCATGCCGCCACGCCGTGTCCGACCTGGGGGAGGGAGGGTGAGGAAGCAAAGGCAAGAAGGAAGCAATGAACGCGTAGAAACACAGGCACCAAATGCAATGAACACATACATACAAGAAATACAGGCACCAAATGCAATGAACACATACATACAAGAAATACAGGCACCAAATGCAATGAACACATACATACAAGAAACACAGGCACCAAATGCAATGAACACATACATACAAGAAACACAGGCACCAAATGCAATGAACACATACATACAAGAAATACAGGCACCAAATGCAATGAACACATACATACAAGAAATACAGGCACCAAATGCAATGAACACATACATACAAGAAATACAGGCACCAAATGCAATGAACACATGCATACAAGAAATACAGGCACCAAATGCAATGAACACATACATACAAGAAACACAGGCACCAAATGCAATGAACACATACATACAAGAAATACAGGCACCAAATGCAATGAACACATACATACAAGAAATACAGGCACCAAATGCAATGAAAACATACATACAAGAAACACAGGCACCAAATGCAATGAACACATACATACAAGAAATACAGGCACCAAATGCAATGAACACATACATACAAGAAATACAGGCACCAAATGCGATTTCTTGGGCGCCTAAAGAATACTAGGTGCAATGAACACATACATACAGGAGCCAAGTACAAGTGGTATAAGACCAAAGGACACGAGGACCATCCGTGACAGGGTTTGGGGGAGATGCATGTGATGCATCATTAATGTGTTCACTGCCCCACTGACCTCTCCAGCAGCCCTATTCTCACCTCTCCAGCAGCCCTATTCTGAGGATGACGTCCGCCAGAGTAGTGTTGGCAGCAGCCACGAGCTGGAAGAGCTTCTTGCGAGTCATGGTGAACGTGCCGCTCTGCTCCATGCCTCTGTTCAGCTCGCTGAACGTGTTCACCATCTCGTCCACCTGCCAGAACAACACGGTAGAACATGCAGCCGTTGAGAAACGCTCTGCTTCATGCCCCAGTGGTGCTCCCTGAACCCGGCTCCTAAACCCGAAGCCCTTGACCCACCAACCTTGCGGGCGTAGAGCTCCAGAGCCACCAACCTTGCGGGCGTAATGGTCCAGAGCCACGCTCTGTCCCAGGATGCTGGAGATGACTCGGATGTTGTTGAAGTCCAGCTGCCTCACCGCCACATAGTCGTGCCCGCCCTCGCTCCACCCCTTGAGAGCCGGCCGTGCAATCACACTGTACTCTGCGGCATGAGAAGGCAGGTTTGGGACGGCAGGTTTGAAAAGGCAGGTTTGAAAAGGCAGGTTTGAAAAGGCAGGTTTGAAAAGGTAGGTTTGAAAAGGCAGGCATGGAAAGAGAGCAGGAACAGGAAACGGTGCATCTATAACAAGACAACGGCAGGAATGGGAAAGCAAGCGAATGACAGATAGTACAGCTTGATGGCGTGTGACTATATCGAGGGCACAGGGACCTACCATCGCTGTGCGCCTCCTTGAAGGCCCCAGTGCAGTGCTGCGTGACTATATCGAGGGCAAGCCCCTCCTCTGTGCGGTCAAAGTTGAAGAAGACCACGGAGCCATAGTGGAAGGCCACCAGGTAGCGCTCTGGCGCTGGCACGCACGCCTCCATGCCCTGATGGTGGGAAATGATGGTGGGAGGAGCGGCATGCATAAGGTTCGGTCAAAGTTGAAGAAGACCACGAATCCGTAGTGGAAGGCCACCAGATAAGTACCACTCCGCGGCTGGTGCACACGCCTCCATGCCCTGGCGGTTGAAGTACGGGCATGGGTGGTTTAGTACATGGGTGTGAGAAGGAGGCACGAGAAGACCACAGAGCCGTATTGGAAGGGCACCACCAGGTAGCGCTCTGACGCTGGTACACACGCCTCAATGCCCTGATGGGGGGATGGGGGATGGGGATGAAACGGAGGCACATGCGTCACACACAAGGGCACCGGGAGAGGGCCACAGAGCCATAGCGGAGTGCCACCAGGTACCGCTCTGGCGCTGCCACACACGCCTCCATGCCCTGATGCTGGGGTGGGGGGGATGCTTGGCATATGCTGCAGGTGGCGTGGGCACATGCTGCAGATGTCCGCATACAACGCGGGTGTTGTGGGTGTACTAACGGTTGGCATCACAGGAAGGAGAAGCAAAGGAGCTGAAGGGAAACGTTGAGGGAGAGCAGCAGCAGCAGCAGCAGCAGCAGCAGCAGCAGCAGCAGCAGCAGCAGCAGCAGCAGCAGCAGCAGCAGCAGCAGCAGCAGCAGCAGCAGCAGCAGCAGCAGCAGCAGCAGCAGCAGCAGCAGCAGCAGCAGCAGCAGCAGCAGCAGCAGCAGCAGCAGCAGCAGCAGCAGCAGCAGCAGCAGCAGCAGCAGCAGCAGCAGCAGCAGCAGCAGCAGCAGCAGCAGCAGCAGCAGCAGCAGCAGCAGCAGCAGCAGCAGCAGCAGCAGCAGCAGCAGCAGCAGCAGCAGAAGCAGCAGCAGCAGCAACATCAGCAGCAGCATGTGTACTGGCTTGGACAGCGTTGCACTGAGGGGAAGCGGCTGGGAGTGATTGGAAATGGGCGAATCCATGCCTGCGCATTGAGAAGGACAGCAACCGCACACACTCTACTCACGGGCTTGGACAGTGCTTCACTGCGGGCAAGAGGCACGGAGCAGTTGGTAAATGGGCGAATCTATTGAGGGCAAGAGGTACAGAACGACGGCAACAGGACACTCTACTCACGGGCTTGGACAGTGCTTCACTGCGGGCAAGAGGCACGGAGCGGTTGGGAAAGCGGATGATGACATTGTTCTTGGCTGGCAGGTGCGGCATGCTTCTGAACCCAGCAGGGCCCACCAACCCCCTCACGTCCAAACTGCAGAGAAACATGCAGACATATTGATGCAGGCATACGTGTGCAGGCCCATACGTGGAATGAGACGGGTCAACAAACGGCGATGACATACGGGAGGGTTTATGGATTCACGGGTTTAACTATTCGGGGTTCGACGGGTTGAAGGGCTTAAGAGTACCTTCTTGCCACGTAGACTGCCTTGACTGGAATGAACTGATCCTGAGGCTTACTGCCAGACGGACTGGCAAGGCCGTTGGGAGGAGCAGGACTGGAGGGGCTGGCTTGACTGGTGGGACTGGAGGGGCTGGCTTGACTGGTGGGACTGGAGGGGCTGGCTTGACTGGTGGGACTGGAGGGGCTGGCTTGACTGGTGGGACTGGAGGGGCTGGCTTGACTGGTGGGACTGGAGGGGCTAATGGGGATGTTTTGACTGGGTTGACTAGTTAGACTGGCGGGGCTGGTGGGGCTGGTCGGGCTGGTCGGGCTGGTGGGGCTGGTGGGGCTGGTGGGGCTGGTGGGGCTGGTGGGGCTGGTGGGTGTGTTCTCCCCGGTGTGACTGGTGGGATGTGTGGGACCGGCTTGACTACCGGCACTTGAAGTAATGGTTGGAGTGGAAGGCCTGGTTGGCTGGACCGGACTGGGCTCACTGGTAGGACTAGCAGCTGAGGCAGAAAAGGCTGCTCTCTGAGCGATGTGCTGCCGCTGCTGCTGATGATGATGCTGCTGATGCTGCTGCTGATGCTGCTGCTGATGCTGCTGCTGATGCTGCTGCTGATGCTGCTGCTGATGCTGCTGCTGATGCTGCTGCTGATGCGTGTCAGTGACACATGCAGCAGAAGTGGGTGCTGCAAGTCCACAATGCACCATGCGCTGCTGCTGCTGTGTTACTTGGGTGGCATGAGTTAGCTGATACACGGCCGGACATCGTTCAGCGTGCCATTTGCTGACGCGCCGGACAAAACCTCCCATGGCGTCTGCTGTGGCTGCAGCAGCAGCAGCACCGGATTGCGACACCTGCCGTGACACAGCGGCCACGGACGCATGACTGCGAAAGGCACAAGCATTTCTGGACGGCTCATGGAACCCAACGGCTCTGAAAGGCTCCAACCAGTCCGACTTAAATGAGGTCTCAGTGAACAGGGCTCTATTCTCCACAGCTCCGACGTGCAGTGCTCTGTCCAGCAACCGGGCTCTCTCTAGCAGCCGTCCACCACCATCCCCACGTGATGTCTTGATTTCTAGCCCCCCAGTCCGCCATGTTTGTACGCTGCGAGCCAGCCTGGCGACGCCATGGCGAAACGGCTGCAGATTAACGCGTGCCATGCGCTGCTAGCGCGTGAGAAGCGGCTGAGATTAGTACACGAGGTGCTGAGGTGGTGCGAAAACGGCTTTGGGGATAGGAATGACGGTGGTGAGGCGGTAGGAATAACGTCTTACAAGCAGATTACACACGATGGTGGTCCGGTGGTAGGGATGATGGCGATAAGTCGCCTGGAACGACGGAGAAGCAGATTTGCCCGAGCAGATTTGCCTCGGGGTGGGGTGCTATGAAGCGACGAGGGAAGCGGAATGGAGGATTTGTATCGGGAGTAACAGGCATGTGCGGGTGGAAGGTGGGATGAGGTGGGATGAGGTGGGATGAGGTGGGAGGAGGTGGGAGGAGATGGGAGGAGGTGGGATGAGACGTCGCTTGGACGAAGCGGCGAGGGCTATGATTCAAAACGGACCATACTAAGCTTGCCAGAGAGAGACGCTAGGTTGCTGATCGGACGGCTGTGAGGTGGCGATCGTGCTAGAAACAAGCTGCAAGGAAGAGACGAGACGAGACGACACACCAGACCAGCGCTACTGGTGCATCACCCAACCTCAAGGTAACAAAGCAAGCGATCGTTAGCTCCCGATCCGGATTACCATTCGACGATTCTTATAACGATCGGAGATCTACGGTGCAGGAAGTAGCCGTTCTCTGCAGTCAGGTTCAGGCGCGCTTAGACAGTCATGGGGGTAGCTGACCTGACCAGTCGCCATGACTTAAATGGAGTTCCCAAGGTGATTTTGGGTGAAAGGTTTTGAAGGGCGATCGGACGCGATATAGAACATAGCGCATCCCGAAAAGTGCCACAAGACTGCATTGAGGCTCGCCAGAAATTGTTATAAAAGTTATCCATTTATGTACCAACAACCAATTGAAAGAGCGTAAAGGAGAACATGCCATATAAGATTGAGAATAAGATAATAATGAACAAGTGTAAAGAAGAATGCTATTCGCTCTGCAACTCCATTATCAGTTGCAGTTATGTAGCCCTCTAAAAGCCATGCTTGTAACTCATTACATTCACATAGCATTCTGCTTCAAACCAAAGCTAGAGATCCATTATTAGGAGAGAAGGACCATTCTCCCTCCAATCCAACCCCTAATTGTGCAGCACCAACTGCACATGTACAAATACTGCATGTGTAAAGCAACATCACATCAATTCTCTAAGCAAACCCCCTTGGCTCCAAACCCACAAAATCTTCCCCTTTGGTTGCCCTCCTTTGCTCACCCTGCTTTGATCACCTCCTCTGATCTGATCTCGACTGTAGCTCTCATTAATGACAAGTCTCTTTTTAATCGTAGCTCTCGTCGACCAGGAATTTCTCAAACTCCGTGCCTTTGAGCTTCTTGGCCACGTCGTCGTAGTTCTCGATGGACTCTCTCAGTGGCCGAGTGTGGATCTTCACCTGCTTGCTCGTCAGCTCCTGCGCTGGTACCCCCAGGAACCGCTGCACCTCCTCCAGAATCTGACGAGGGGGGATTGGGGGGAGGGGGGGTGGGGGGGTGAGCAAGAAAGAGTGAGGGGAGGGGTACCTGCTTGTCAGCTCCTGCGCTGGCATCCCCAGGATCCGCTGCACCTCCTCCAAAATCCGATGAGAGCAAGTAGAGAATTGAGAGCGCATGGGAGAGAGTGGGGTGAGAGACAGAGGAGGGAATAAGACGTGAGTAAGAGGAGGGGGCCTTGCTCATCAGCTCCTGCGCAGGCACTCCGAGGAAACACTGTACCTCCTCTAGAATCTGAAGGGGTTGAAGGGGGAAGGGGGGCAGTGGAGAGGGTAAGTGAGTGAGAGAGTGGAGCAAAGGGTTAACGAGAAGAAAAGGGGGGGGACACTTGGCATGTCAGCTCTGTGCAGCTGAACGCCTGAGCGCATCATCCACCATCTCCTGCATGCCGTGCTGCAAGTAACCTCCCACCCTCTATCTACGCAAGCACGCAGCAAGCATGCCCCACCCACAGCTCTGCACTTGGCAGCACCCACCGTTTTGTTCTTGACGACGTCTTCGTAGTAGACAAGCATTCTTCTGGTGCCGTTGAAGGCTCTCAGCGCGTCGTCCACCATCTCCTGCACGCGCTGTAGGTTGCCCTCCAGGTGCTTCGCGCTCACGTTCGGCCGAAACGTGGCCAGCTTCTCGGCCTGCAATGTGGGGGGAGAAAACCAAGCGGAGGGGAGGGAGCTTACACTCAGATTCCACTGTGAAGTATGCGGGCATGGAACGTGGCGCGCAGTGTGGCAAAGAGGAAGTACGGGAGAATCGTGAAAGGCTAAACGGCAGAGTGAGAGATCATGGTGAATGCTGGTGGCAGAAAGAGGGGTTCTGGAGTACGGCGAGGGCAACGAGTAGGAAGAGAGAGAGAGAGAGAGAGAGAGAGAGAGAGAGAGAGAGAGAGAGAGAGAGAGAGAGAGAGAGAGAGAGAGAGAGAGAGAGAGAGAGAGAGAGAGAGAGAGAGAGAAAGAGAACGAGAAAGAGAACGAGAAGTAGAGAGTGGAGCGCGGAGGGAGTTCGGGGAAGGGGCGGGGGGAGGGAGGGGGAGGGGAGACTAGGGAGCTTGGTGGAACACGCGATACGTACCTCTTCTTTGCTGTGAGTGTGCGATTTGTGCACTCCCACTAGCGCTGTCTTCCGGTCGTACGCGTTCGCCAGGATGGAGATCAGCCGTCGCAGCACGTTCTTCCGGATAAGCAGGATCACGGACACGTGGCGCTTCTTGAAGTACTCTGCCACGTCACTGCTGAACTCCATGGCGCCCTGGGGAGCCGGAGGCAGCGGGAGTCAGGTGAGGGAACGAGGGAGCGGAAGAACGGGTGAAGGGGGAAAGAGGCGGAGAATGAGTGACCGAATGGGATACTGAGAGAATGGGGGAAGAACGGAAAGCACGCGGGCGAAAAAGGTGCCCCCCCCTTGGCTGAGTCGACCACCCTCCACCATCCTCCACTGCCCTCCTTCCCCTACTCTCCTTCCCTCCCTGCCGGGCGACCCTTCCTCCGTCCGTCTCCCGCTCCTCCTTCCTCCTTCACTTCCTCTCCTTTCCTCCGCCAACCCTTTACCTTGCTCACTCGCCTCCCCGTCCCTCTCTCCCCTTTACTTCATTCAGCAATCATGCCAATCCAACGGCCCTCCTCACCTGGTTGAGCATCCATTTGAATCCGACGGCGCTCGTGCACGAGTTCTTCGCGGCGCTGCTCGTCCAATCCAGATTGTACACGCGGTCAAGCGTCTCCGCGACCGCCGAGGCGTTCGCGCGCCGCGGCCGGACTATAAATATCTCCCCGTGGCTACTAATGTTCGGGTGAGAGTTTAAGAACGTCTCGAACCACCCGCTGCCGGACCGCTGCATGGAAAGTACCACGAAGTTGTGCACGGGGTTGCATAGGCATTCTGCTCGGCTGTAGTTAAGAGGGTTGGGGTAATGTTGGCCGAATCGCTCTAAGTCGCCGTATTCTACTTCCGAAGCCGCGGGACACTTCTCTAACTCCCTCGAGTCTGCTTCTCTTTGCGCCTTCCGCGCAGCTTCCTTCTCCTCCTCGCTCTCCTCAGCAGCGAGTGAGCGAGACGGGGAAGAGGAGGAGGAGTGTGAAGGAAACGGAGGATTTTGTGGAGCGTCGACGGGAACCGCTACAATGGCTAACGAGGAGAATAAGTCGAAAGAGGACGCGGTGTGTGATATGGATTTGATGCAAAGCGATAGACCGCATATGGCTAGGAGAACCACGGTGCTGACTTTCCAGAAGTAGGAGCTCCGGCGAGGGATTTTAGCTGGCGACGGAGAAGGTGGAAGGACCATGGCAATGTCGTTAGCCGAAACCATCTGTAACGGGGACAGATGGGAGATGAATGGAGGAAGAATAAGGAACAAGGAAGCTTCTCAACACACTGGCGTTCCCATGGCAAATAAGGCTTGTTCCGGAATGAGAATCAAGTCACTTACTGCCTGTCGAACGAAGCTGAACAAATACATATGTCAATGCTTAGCAGCCGAACGCGCAGATCGAGCCGTCAACAGCGGAAGTCGTAGGGTGGGGAGGTCCTAGTCCTGCTTTTGAGTCGACTCAGAAGCAGTCGTAGGATGAGGAGGTCCTAGTCCGGGAAGCAACCGAGCCTAACGAATCAAGATCGCAAACAGCCCCTTCTCTTTAGTCGCGCCGGTAGTGGAATTCGCTACACAAACCGTGCTCTCAACCACAACTAGCTGTGTTTCAGCTTGAGATACTAACAAACTGAGATTGTTTTTGCTCCCATCTATGTATTACTTGACTGGGTTTGTCTAGCAGGGACTAAGGCCGGTGCTACACGAGCGCGTAAGGCGCACCGCCGCCAAAAACGCAGGAACACAGAGAAAGGCACGAGGAGGAGCCGCCTCCGTACAAATACCGGAGGTGACAAGAAAGGCCAGCCGTAGATTCACTGGGTCATAAACTCGGAGATGCATTATTCTGCGAAGCCGCAAGCAGAGCCCAGCAGAAGCAGAGCGGACCCTAGCACTAACGACATTAGTGGGGGAGAATAGGGAGGGAGGAAAACCAGGAATTCCCGAAGCAATATTTTCGCACAACTCTTGTGGTAGAGCTGCCGTGCGGCTGTGGGTCAAACTTGGCGGGAATCGCGGGCGGTACAGAATGGTCGGAGCCTTGGATCTGGTTTGGCAGGTGACAGAGGCCTGGTTTGGTGAGTTTGCTCCAACCAGTTCTGCCTGTGGGGAGGGAACTTGGGCACTGGCTGGCAGTCCCGAGGGAATCAAGCCTTGAGCTCAACGGGAAAAGCCTCGAGGTATGGTGGTGAATGTCAGTCAGATGTCAGGTACGGTGGGGACAGATGTAGGCTCGGCAGGTAAGTTTGTCACGTTCGGACGTCGGAAATGTCCTCCCAAGCCGGCGGTCACTCGTATTCCTCGGAAGCAACCGAGTCGCACAAGCCGCGGAGTCAGCTTCCGTGCAAGAGTCGGGACTGGGGAGGAGCGCGCACCACCACGAAGCCGCATCTGGTGAAGGTGAAGGCGGTGTAAACACGAAATGTTACACAATTTGATTGCTAGAAGAGCTATACATTCTGCTATACTTCTCATAGTAGAATTATTAGCTACTATGTAAGATACAGGGTGGTTTTGTCCAACGGGTTGTACTCTCTAAGAGTATGCACCTACCTAGCATATAGTTACATATACATATATGTTTGACACACCCCCTAGACAAGATGAGGGGCAGTGCCAGGCAAGAGACACGCAGCTCAGGGTGGCACCACTAGTCCAATTTCTGAGGCAAGGGTCCGAAGACCAGTCAGCGAGAGTACAAACTAAACAAGAGTAACCCAGGACGGAAATACTAGTCCAGCCACTGGAACAAGAGTCACAAGGCCAGTCAAAGTAATATAACAGGAAGTATACATCAGGGTCCTAGTAGGTGAGAATCTATAGGAAAGAGACCAAGCTGTATATAGTGCTGCTGATGATATTTAGGCGCAAGCGCATTCGTAAAGATGTCAGCTGTGTTGGCACCAGAGGCCAAGTGTACTACGCGGGCCAGGCGGCGCTGCTGTAGCTCGCACAATAGGAAGTACTGCAGTTGGATGCGCTTTGCTCTACCCTCCAGTAGAGGCTTCGGAGGATCATGATCCTGTTGTCAGCGTACATGATCGGGGCAGAGCTAGGCTGCTCACCTAAGTCTGTGAGTAAGAATGTCAGCCAGCGGAGCTCCTGTAGCGCCATGGCACCGGCGTAGATCTCAGCCTCACAGCTAGACTGGGCAACAGACGACGGGCGAATGGACCTCCACGAGATGGCACATGCACCAAGGCTAAAACAGTAGCCTTGGAAGGACCTGAGCGTCTCAGCGTCGTTTGCACACGAAGCGTCTGTGTGCCCTGTAAGGACCACTGGTCTGCGTCCTCCTAGCACTACCTCCATGCCCGATGTACTTGCTAGATAACACAAAACCCTCTTAGCGACCGACCAGTACTGTGGTTGCTGTCTGCCTGTGGCTACAAAGTGAGCCACGATGCAGAGAGGGTATGCGGGATCTGGACGAGTGCATGTCTTCACGTACATGAGGCAACCCACCAGCTCGGCGTATGGACCACTAGGCTCTACTGACTCCTCAGGGACTGGAGCTCAGAGCCTGTGATCTACTGGCATAGGTGTGGGATGTGCAGAGGAGAACTGCAGACCGAACCTCTGAAAGACCTAGCGCACCAAGTGTGATTGTGTGAGAGTGATGGTGCGCGCTGCTCTGTCCCTGGAGATCTGCAGGCCAAGGTAGCAGCGCAACTCTCCTAGGTAAGTGCAGGTGTATCTCCGCAGCAGCTCAGCCTTCATGGAGGCCAGTGCGTCTCTGTCTACCTTAGCAAAGACCAGGTCGTCTATGTAGACAAGGGTTTGCAGACGACAGGAAGAATTGCAAGTCAGCTAACGTAGCACGAAGCATGTTGTGCCACTCGCGCGGGGCCTCCTGCAGGCCGTAAACCGGGCGCCGGAGGAGCCACTGGGTCTTCGGGGCGAAGGTGCCGGTGAAGCATGGCGGGCGACGCACGTAGACCAGCTCGTGCAGACTACCATGAAGAAACGCTGTCGAGAACTCGAGGGAGTGCAGCTCTTGTCACGCTGTGCTGCTACGTATAATAGCATCTAAAGAGTAGCCATCTTCGGATCGGGGCAAAGGTTTGAAAGAATTCAACACCCTCGCGCTGACTGAAGCCTCTAGCAACGTAGCGCGCCTTGAACACCGGCGACTCTCCAAGAGGGCGCTTCACCTTCAAGAGCCACCGTCCATCGATTACGTTCACCCCAGGTGGGGGAACTGCGTCGACGTAGGTGCCGGTGGATCTCCAAGATGGCATCTCCGCATCCATGGCAGCTATCTATTGAGAGGCCTAGGGTCTCGAGTTTGCCTCAGCATAAGTGCGAGGGGTCGGGATGTCAAAGGCGTGTGGGTGACCCTCAGGGACAAGCAGCATGGAGCAGAGATGAGGCGGGGCCTTGGACAGGAAAGCAAGCTCGTACTGCCGGTCCTCTCGAACATCAGTGCCAAAGGCAAAAGCACCCCCGATGGATGGAGGACGCGCAGGGTCAAAGACCAGAGCAGTGGACTAGTCAAGGCGATGAGTAGAGGCAAAGTCAGCGACAGCAGCAACAAGAGTGTCAAGACTGGAGACATGAACAGACGTCTCGGTAACGAGGGGGGCAAGGACCCGAGGAAGAAGAGGACTATTAGCACAGAGGAAGTCAGACAGGGTAGGCGGAGCAACAAGCATCGATGACAGAGGAGGCGACGAGAGGAGGGGTGGATGCGGCGCATGGGAACGAAGCAACATAGGTTGAGAGCGAGATACAAGAGAGACAGGACGATCACGTAAGGGATGGCGAGACCAGAAGTGGGACGGAAGCGTTGGGTAAGGAGACACAGGAGGAGACATAGGATGAGAACGAGGAGGGAAACGAGCCGGGGACGAGTCTGGCGGAGGAAACACAAGGCCGTAAACAGAAGGGGGAGGAATTGGCGGGCACTCGGGGGAGGGAAGATCGAGGAGGTGAAGAACAGAAATAGTGGACGACTGCTGCTATTGCTGTGCCCTACCAAATCTAGAACCTCCAGCTGCACAACGACTACCTCCGGGATGCTCCATGACAGCACCCCCAGAACCAGAACCCTCTGCAGCATCATGGGCAGTGGCTAGGCGGTCAGGAAGGCGCGTGACAATGGGGTCAAGGGTAGCGCAAAGCAGCGGCGGGAAGGCAGTGAGATGTGCCTTAATGCTAGCGGCGCTGTCACATGATTGAATGTGTCGAGGAAAGGTTGCACTATCGATTGATACAAGGTGCTTTTATACTTCCAAAGTACATTACGTAACCAGGTTTATCCTATCCCAAGGGAATAGACCCTTCTAGAAAATAGAATCACCTTGCGCATAGCCACGCGAGGCTATTGGCTTTCAGGGATTACGGCAGGATTACGCTAGATATAACCTACCAGTACATCCCGAGCCTGGTCGGTGATATAATGATAATAACAAGATAAACCAAAGGTTTATGGAAAAGAAGAATTAGGAATCCAAATGGAATGAGATAAAGACCAAATGAATCAAGATAAAAAAGAGGAATGAAATGGAAAGGAGAAAGAAATGGAACGGGATCGTACTCTCACAGGCGCGGCAGCTAGTCTCCAATGTGTGGAGGTGAGTGGCAAGGTCAGCGACCGTGGAGAAGGACGCAAGGTCAGGGAACAGAGATTATCATGTTATTATCGCGTCCAGGAGGAGCAGAGATTCCGCCATCACCACGGCTGCAGCAGCTGACTGCCGCTGGCAAGGGGAGGGGGGGAACCGCAGGAGGGCGGTGGAGAGCGATGGAGAGCAGTGGGGAGCGGTGGAGTACGGTGGAGTACGGTGGAGTGCGGTGGAGTGCGGTGGAGAGCAGTGGAGTGCAGGGGAGCATGGTGGAGTGCGGTGGAGAGCGGTGGAGGGCGGTGGAGCGTGCTGGCGGGAGCATCGGCTCAGAGGGGGGAGCCAAGGCCGGCAAGTCAGCTCGGCTCGGCGGTAGCAAAGGCCGGGGCGGGCTGGGACCGGCGGAGCTGCGGCCGGCAAAGTGGGGGCCGACGGAGTTGGGGCCAGTGGGAGCACAGGGCCGGGGCAAAGGGGCCGGCAGGCACGGGCCCAGGGAGCGTGAGACGGGTGGGCACGGGGCCAACAGACGCAAGGCTGGCGGGCGCTGGGCCAGCAGGCGCGGGGCAGGCAGGTGCGGGGCAAGCAGGCGCAGGGGCCAGCGGGCGCGGAGCTGGCGAGCATTAGGGCCGGCGAGGGCAGGGCTAGAGAGCATGAGGCCGGCGGTGAGTGGCTGGCGAACGCGGGGCGAGCGGGTGCGGGGCTGGCAAAATCGGGGCTAGTGGCGTGGGGCGAGCGGGCGCAGGGCCAGCGGGCGCGGGGCTGGGGAGCGAGGGTGGAAGCTGGCGAGTTCGGGGCCAGCGGGTACGGGGCTGGCGAGCGCGGGGCTACAAGAGGCTAGGAGTAGGCGGCTAGGGCTAGGACTAGAGCGGAAGCGCGGGTGGGTGGGGAGGACCTAACCTAGCGCGTGATACCATCTTAGAGTAGAATTATTAGCTGGTATGTGAAGTATGGGGTGGTTTTGTCGAAGGGGTTGTACTCTTTAAGAGTACGCACCTATCTAGCCAATAGTAACATATACATATATGTATTACAATACTTACTTGCGTTATCACCACTCCTACGCTATGCCTGTTCGTCTCGGAGGCGGAACTGCTCAACTATTTTCATGGTTGCCACATTTTATGCCACAAGGGCATGGTCTTAGAGTAGCGAATTAGCTGAAAACAAGGGATTCATGAGACGTACTGGTTTCGGTTATACTCTCAAAGAGCATTGACCCATCTAACCTATAACTACTACATATCTAACATATTTATAAGTTGACACACCCCCTAGGGTAGATAAGATGTAGTGCCGAGCAAGAGACACACAACTTAGGGTGACACTACCAGTCCAAACTC